TGCGCTGACCAGTAACCTTTGCGAAATGCACTCGAGAAATTAGTGATAAACCTCTAGTTAGCACTTGAGACCGTTAAAAATCAGCATTAATTCCCATGGCACATTCACAGCTTTGGCTACACATTTGCTAGACAGTTCATACATCAAATGCAACCTTTGACATTGTGAACATACCGAGAAGGAAAAAAACTAATGCTGTAACTACGGGAATGTTCATGTTCTTTAAACATTGGTGCTGGACACGTTTTACAGCAAGCTTATGGCATTCTGCTGGATGCTATCACAGAAGAATACGTCAGTTTTCGTTCTTTTAAACACCGATTATGGATATGCGGTCATCGCAACTTTCAGACTAACGCTTCCTTCCAATTAGTACTGACAGTATTCATTTACTCAACCGGAAACGATGGAAAGCGAGTAAGCCAGATGATCGAAATTACCGACTATCGAGCTGAGGAAACGCATACGAAAGAAGGAAAACACTGATAACAAAAGTACAAAAAGATGGCAAAGAGAAACAAAAACATGGAAAGATGATTCAGGGAAAACGAAAAATGGGAAAATAAGAAAAGAACAAGCTTGAATGCAAACCCTAACCTCATAAGTCATATCGCCGATTATCTTGGTCTTTCCTCTGAGGAAGGAACAGGAAGGAAAAGGAGATTCATTTCTCTTATTCTCAGCTGGCAACACCAAGTTGAAAGCGATCGTGTTTCGGCATGATTTTGCTTGTAATTAAAAATACGAGGTGCTGCCCGGGTGAATAATTCTAATAGTCCTCATTCCCCTAAGACATAGGACACCTTCAACTGCGGCAACGGATCACACGGACCACACTCACCGCCACAGATGCTCAGAGCAGAAAAACGAAAACAACAAAACACGCGACGGCATGTTTCAATGGATTATGATCTGGTGTCGTATTCACTCCGCTCCAGGGAGAACCGGTTAATCTCTCTGACAGCATCAGCCGATATTAGCGTAAAGCACGTGTTCCTCACTAAGCGAATTAACATGAGTCTGAATGCCGCATGGGCGGCCTGGCAACTTGCGCTGACTGAAATAGGTCACCCTTCAACGCCTTTCCCACACTTCAGTTTGTCATCATCAGTTTGTGAATGTCAAACTACAGGATGATGTGATCCGCATCAAAAGAAAACATGCAGCATAGAATTCCAATTGAGACAAATGATTGACAAGACCAAAAGCTTGGAGATTATTGAAGATGCGATACGGAGGGAGGGAGGAGGGCGTGGTCAAGCTGCCTAATGCAGTGCACGTTGCGTGCTGGGTTCGCACATCATGCGGAGAGTAGGATTTTTCGAATAAAAATGACTAAATCCCTTGAGAAAGCAATTCATCACGCAATGGTTCGGTGCAACCAACCGAAGAAAGGGTGACAAAGCGCGAAACTACCAAAAAGATGGGGCGTCATGCCAAAGCGACTTGGGTGGGTGGTAACCATACTGTCGGACAGGTGCATTCTGGGCTGCAGCTATTCTTCACCCACCGGAGAGCTGACCAATGTTCAACCCAAGGCGTAACCCGAAAACAAGTAAACTCTGGAGTCAGTTAGTTCATTTATATAAAGTACTAGTGCAAACGAGGAACGCTGAACCCTGAGGACAAGTCTTGCAGAGTCCTTCAGTCAATGGCAATTTCGCAGCAGAAATGTGAACGTAATGGAAGTACGCAACACGTAGGGACGCTAAAACCTTACACTTTCGTTGCCCTTTGCACATCCCTCGTTCACGCACCTAAAAG